AGATTCTATGAGTATTTAATTTAAATCGATGTTCATTTTTATTAGTGTACTCTATTATTCAATACCAAAGCACTCATATGGAATGGAGTTTTGCATAACTTATTTTTATACTAAGTTGTGACCATGAGATGCTAAGTTGTGACCATGAGATGCTAAGTTGTGACCATGAGATGCTAAGTTATGACCATGAGATGCTAAGTCGTGGCCAGGAGATGCTAAGTCGTGGCCATGAGATGCTAAGTCGTGGCCAGGAGATGCTAAGTTATGACCATGAGATGCTAAGTTATGATCACAAGATGTTAAGTTATGGTCATGATATATTCAGTTGTGGTCACAAGATGTTAAGTTATGGTCATGATATATTCAGTTGTGGTCACAAGATGCTAAGTTATGGTCATGATATATTCAGTTGTGGTCACAAGATGCTAAGTTATGGTCATGATATATTCAGTTGTGACCATGAGATGCTAAGTCGTGATACAAAGTCATGGCCACAAGATGCAAAAAATATTATTCTGTATTTTATGTCGCCTCTATGCTTCCGTAGATTTGTCATTTTTTTTCAGTTTTGTAATGTTGATGTTTAAAAATTACTTACGAATAGTAAGTGATCACAAGATGCTAAGTTATGGTCATGATATATTCAGTTGTGGTCACAAGATGCAGTTATGGTCATGATATATTCAGTTGTGGTCACAAGATGCAGTTATGGTCATGATATATTCAGTTGTGGTCACAAGATGCTAAGTTATGGTCATGATATATTCAGTTGTGGTCACAAGATGCAGTTATGGTCATGATATATTCAGTTGTGGTCACAAGATGCTAAGTTATGGTCATGATATATTCAGTTGTGGTCACAAGGTGCTAAGTTATGGTCATGATATATTCAGTTGTGGTCATGAGGCGTTAACTCGAGATACAAAGTCATGGCCACAAGATGCAAAAATATTATTCTGTATTATATGTCGCCTCTATGCTTCCGTAGATTTGTCATTTTTTTCAGTTTTGTAATGTTGATGTTTAAAAATTACTCACGAATAGTTTTGGCGTTAAAAAATTCATTATAGTTGGATTGTACATGTACGTTTTAGCAAATATATCCAGAGTCCTCAATTGAAACAATATAGTTGGATTATACATGTACGTTTTAGCAAATACACCCAGAGTCATCAATAGAAACAATATAGTTGGATTCTACATGTACGTTTTAGCAAATACATCCAGAGTCCTCAATAGATACAATATAGTTGGATTGTACATGTGCGTTTTAGCAAATACACCCAGAGTCCTCAATAGAAACAATATAGTTGGATTGTACATGTACGTTTTAGCAAATACATCCAGAGTCCTCAATTGAAACAATATAGTTGGATTATACATGTACGTTTTAGCAAATACACCCAGAGTCATCAATAGATACAATATAGTTGGATTGTACATGTACGTTTTAGCAAATACACCCAGAGTCCTCAATAGATACAATATAGTTGGATTGTACATGTACGTTTTAGCAAACACACCCAGAGTCCTCAATAGATACAATATAGTTGGATTATGAATGAATGAATAATTTATTGCATTAGTATATACATGTAGACTACATAACATAATGCTTTAGCTCAATACATAGTAATATACATAAATATGTGAATCGTGTTATGATTAAATTAATTAATGAATGAAGAGCTAAATATATTCGCATAAATCAATAGCATAGAAATTTTGTTAGTGTAGTATTGTATTATGGAAAACATATGCAATAATATCATAAAATCATAATTCTATAAGTGAAATAAGTTGATTATATAGAAAATGTATTTGACATAATAAGAACTTCATGTATAGCATTATACGGACAATCTTAATATTTCAATATTGATAATTCGAATTTGATTATAGTTTTGTAACGGAAGTTTTATATATAGCTGTAGAATATTAAACATCTAACTTTGTTTCTATAGCTTATTAATTTTTCATGAAATTTTCTCTGGTCTTCCAGGCGTAAAAAAACATACCTAGATATATTCTCTATTTTGATAGTTGATTTGACTTTCATAAGTTTGTAGAATTTCTCAAGTGAAGGCCAACTCCAGCAATAACGAGGAAGATATTGGAACCTTAATTTTCTGTACAGTGGACAACACAAAAGAAAATGGAATTCATTTGACCTGTATTACAACAATTGCATATTCTTTTTTCTTTTGGAATTTGAAGATAACGCCCAGTTTCTATATTTAATTTTAATGAACCTCCTCTAAATTTACATAAAGCATTTCTGAATTTTACATCATTAAGTACTCCTAAATACGATGCACGCGAAAATTCTTCAAAGAAGTTAAAATATTAGCACAGTGGGGAGCCTCGATGGCTCAGTGAGTTAGATGCTTGCTCGCTAGCCTGAAGGTCCAGGGTTCAATCCCGGTATAGGTCGAGATAATACCTTCGGATTTTTCAACCCGGTTTCCACCTGTCATTTTATTTCATTTCTAATAGCACAGTGGATAGTAGGCACATAGGCCATTAGAGGCTGGTAAATCTAGTATTGA